TGAAGGTAAAGAAGTCCCTGGTAACCGAGGTTATAAGTAAGTTAAATTTACTTTGAAATATTATGTAATTCCTAATTTTGAAATAAGATTACTAATGAAAATTACTATCAAGATATTTTGGACGTGCAAAAGATTTACCGGGCGTAAGAGAATTATTTGAGCAAGAAGGTGCAAAATCTAATAAATTATTATCGAGAGTATGGCCAATCATATTTCTCCGGCAACAATACTATTACTGACAACAATAATATAGCTCCTACACCACAAAAACGTACAAGATCTGACCTATATAAGAATGTTGATGCAGACTATTATGGGTACAGAGACGAAGAAGATGGATTACTGCTCGAATATGAACGAGAACAGGAGCTTAAAAGTAACTCTTATATTACTGCAATTTTACGGAAAAAATTGACAAAAAACTGAGTGTATAATATTTTTGGATTATAGTTATAACAGAAGCATCAGAGTTACCAGACAAAACATTACCTAAAGATAAGTTCACGCAAAAGACAAAAGAGAATGCTTCACAATTAGAAAGTGGTGCAATGGATATCGATCAATTGTCGGAAAAGTTTGTTGCACATGTAGCTGTACCCACTCAAAAGGAAGTGGAAGAGTACTTAGTACGACGAAGGAAGCGGCAGATCCTTGATCGCTACGTGTCTGAACAGTGTTGACTAGAATTTCTAATCCCTTGTGGGTTTTTCGGATCAAATATAATATGGATGGCCTCTCAGCAAAGCGCCATCATTATATTTATCATATAATTGAAAATATAGCTTGCTATACAATCTACGTTATCGTAAAATCTTGAAATAGTGGGTATGGCATTATTTTGATTTACAGTCCCGAAGTAAACTTAATTCGGGCCATTATCTAAAATAACGCACATGCTCGTTGTTTCGAGATATTACGGCACACATCATTTTCAATTAATGTTAATTATGAATTAATGTGTTATTCGTAGATTTGAAAATGTAATCGTTTTCAAAACCCATTTATATTGATGTTTTTAATTTGATTAAAATTTATAATTTTTCAAAAAAATGAATTGATTAATATTAAACATCGGTATTGTAAAATTATATTACTAGTGTTCACATCATTATAATTTTTAATTATTTATATTGGCAAATATGTAGATAAACGAAAACTAAAAATTTGTTTTTTATATGGTGCAGGAAGTCTTAACTCACCGATATAATAGATGAACTTTAAAATCTATTAACTCCTTAAAAAATCAAAATTTTAAAAAATTAAACCAGTAATTTTGTTTTTCAAGACAAGCTCTACAAAATTACCGGTCAGATTTTAAAAATATAATCTCTATAGAGTTAATAGCTTTTAAAT